ATACAAATGAAATTTAAATACATTTAAAATCATATAGGCAAATCTCCAATGGGGTCTTCTATCTATGATTTGCTTTACACCTATATAATAAAGGAAGCTAAACAACACTTGAGTGAGACAAATCTACTTGAAAAGAATAGAGCATTGTTTTTAGAGATGTCTGGAGTACATTAAAAGTAATTGGATGCAAAGCAAGCAGCCAGGGCTGCAGCTAGCAAGGAGTTTAGAAGGGTTTTTAAACTCCCAAAGAGCAAAGAACTTTTTTGGTTAGAATCTACTGAGCTATCTAATGTAGTGTTTTGGACCATGTTCATTTGGTTCTAACATTTAACGGGCTGAGGAGTAAATGCCATTTAAAAAAAAAGATCGCGAAAGCTGTCAGCAAAGGTATACACAAGGCGAGGGAAGCTGGATAATCCCAAGTGCTCCTGGAGCCCAGTGGTTCAAATCTGAAGCAACAAACTGCAAGGAACAAGGCAGACAGCGCATGCCTCGTGGACTTCAGGAAACAGTTCTCAAGCAGCCACAGGCTTCCCCATGGCCAGTGTGCATTCGTAGGTGCACTGAGCCAGGACTTGGGGTGACCTGATGCTTCTGCTGGAGTTTCCTCACCACCTCAGTGCTTTCTCTTTCCTTCATCCCCTGTTTAGGGAGGTGCTGAGGAACAAGTGGAAAGCAAAACTAAAAAAAACCCAGTGTCATCAAGTCGATTTCAACTCACGGAGACCCCATGTGTGCTACAGTAGAACTGTGCTCCGTAAGGTTTTTAATTCAGTGGACTCACGGGAGTGCTCACGTGCAGCTGCTCTCAGTCCACTCCTACTGAACTTCTAGTACACTGGCCTGACTCAGGCCTGGAACTTTCCTCATTTAGAATTTGGTGTCATCTTCGAGTTGTACGGCCAACTCTTTCCTTAGAAAACTCTTACAAAGATGTTACCAGTGAGATATTAACCTTCTCTGCCTGTTTGCAGGTTCTCCTGGGTCAGACAAACTAGCCGAAGGAAGAGGACAGATTCCTTGAGTGATGGAGGTGGTGCTGGGGAAGGTGTCTCACATTGGATGTCCTTGAGAGAGTCTTCCAAGCTTGCCCAGTGAGGAAATGCAGGCCATAGGTGGTCAGGATAATAACCTGAAGAGAGCAGTCCTATACAATTTTGCCTCAGACAGGCCCTTCACTTTATAATTCAGTATTTATGTGAGAGGACATTGAGGATTTTGGTTGGAAAGAGGCATAGAATTTTCTTTGGAGTTAATTTACCTTGTGCCAGGTAATGAGAAGTAGACTGTGTTAGTATTGTGAAACTGACTGATGGCTTTGTGGTTTTGACTAAAGAAGGTGCCAGCCGGCCTTTCCAGCAGAAGAAAAATGCTGAACTCACAGGCCATAAGAGCACTGCTTAAACATTAAGGAGCTCTGTTTAACTTGTGATTTGCAGGCTGTGTATATAGTGTCAGCTCACTCTATGAGCTTATTTACTGAAGGAGAAGACGATGGCGTTATTCTAAGGAGTGCTAGTCTCATAATGATGCTTCCAGATTTAATGAGACAATGTTTATCGAGTCCCTATACAGAGTTCTGGTGTGGCGATGTGGGTTAGTGCGCCAGACTGCAAAGCTGTTTGAACTGCAAGGTTGGTGGTTCAAGCTCACCAGCTGCTCCTTGGAAACCCTATTCAGGGTCGCTGAGGGTCAGAATCAACTTGATGGCACTTCACAAGAACAACAATATAGGGCTGGATGGAGTCCTGGTGTGGTGTTGTGGGATAATGCATTCGACCTCAAGGTCGGTTTGACCTTGTAAGGTCAGCAGTTTAAATTCACCAGCTGCTCTTTGGAAACCCTATCTAGGGTCACTATGAGTCAGAACTGACTCAAAAGCACTTAATAAAAACAACATACAGGGCTGGATCCATAGAAGGCTTTCAATAATTGCTCATTCTTTTACTCCGTGTGTACAATGGACCAGATTCCTAGGATGCACAAAAGGTTGACAGTTTGAGCTCAGACAGCAGAACTTTGGGGGAAAAAAAGGCCTGATAGTAATTTGCTTCCATTACGATTGTAGCCAAGGAAACCCTGTGGAGCACAATCTGTAACACACAGGGTTACCATGTTGTGGGATTGACTCAATGGTAAGTAACAGCAACAACTTGGACCCTACTTGAGACTGGAAGACACTGGGGAACATAGCAGACAAGCTGTCTCTTCCGGTGAATCTTTATTGTCATTACTTTTTGTACTTCCTGCGAGTAAAGTGTCATGAACTAGGACCATTGAGGAGTCAGTTGTTGTTGTTAAGTACTGTGGAGTCGGTTCCGACTCATAGTGACCCAAGAAAGATGTAAAATACTCCAGAAACTCCAAAGAAGCTGGAGCAAAACAAAGAGCAGAATTAGATACTTTAAAAAAATTCTGATAGTATTTCCAAGAGTGAGAAGAAGGCAGCCAGTGTTGGGGTTTGGGTTGGAATTTGGCAGTTTTCAGTTATAGTTGGATTGAAGTAGAAATGTGGTGTCAGACTGAGTAATTCACAAATTTCCCGAAATGTACATGTACTCAAGGCTGGGCCTTTGTTTTCACCTTCAGAGTGTAAGTGTGACTCCCGAGGCTCCCTGGACAACATCTGTGACCCTTGGGGCCAGTGCCGCTGTCACCCCCATTATTCTGGTTGGAGCTGCAGCCAGTGTGCCCCTGGCTTCTATGGATACCCCGACTGCCTTCGTGAGTGGTTGCACTTTTCTCTCTGCATTGAGTCCTTTAGGGCAGAATTAGCAGAAGTAGCCTAAGAACATTTCCTTAGAAATCAGCCTCCTAGGCCAGGACTTGATCTCTGCCGACTGGCCTGGTGGGGACACGGCTGTGAAAGAACTCTGATCAGAAGCAAGTAGTAGGATATTGGAGTCTTGTCTGCCAAGGGCTCATCGAGAGATGGTAGACATGATTCTAAATCCTTCTTGTGTCTGGTGCCTTGGAGGTCAGGGGGCTTCATACTACATCGATAATCCTCTAACCTTTTCTGGATATATTACTTTTCAAGGTCAGGGAAGGTGCATTTTTGTACTTTCATGCAGTACTTGGCCACAATGCTATGAACAGTGTTGTTGTTATGTTAAGTGCTATCCAATGCATAGCAACCCTATGCAGAGTTTCCTAGGGGCACTTCAAACAGAACTTGAGATCTAGTGCTTATCCTACAGTGAAAAGCCAGGCCTTTAATAAATGTCTGCTGGCTAGATGAGTATCACATACGAAGGTGGAATGATGGTAGATTCTCCTGGTCGGTCACTAACTCTCTCTCTGAACAAGCTACACAGCCCATTGGAGTCCCAGATAATTTGTAAATGAGAAAACCTGCTAAGCTCCCTCCCATCTGCAAGATCTGCGATTTAAGATTCTGATGACAAGTCAGGCCAACACTGCCATTATTGCTATCATCTGGTCCCTGAGGCTAGACCAAGTCCTGACAAAGAGAATTTATGACATATGCTGGCCTGGCCCCTGGGGCTCAGTGTTCTAAGCCTTAGTAATAGGAACAGGTACAGATCTCAAGGACACCTGCAACTATGAGGGGACTTCAGACAGTTCATGGAAAAATGAACTTGAAAGAGAAAAATAAAACATATTAACTTTGTTTTTCATCATAAGCTCCATCCTTGTGTGGCGCTGTAGGATTAGCACTGGACTGCAAATCACAAGGCTGTTGGTTCAAACCCACCAGTCGCTCCTTGGAAATCTTAAAAAGGGTCGCTATGAGTCGGATTCGACTTGATGGCACTAAATGACAATACCTAACTTCATCACTTACTAACCTTGTAAGTGATGATGCCAGTCATTCAGTTCACTCCTACAGAACTAAGGCTCTGGGAATTTAACCATGTCAGCATAGTCTTTTTATATATTATTAACTGAAGAAGGGAAAGGGAGAAGACAGGGAGAGGTCAGAAGCTGTTCTCTTCATCCACTTAGCCAAAAATGCTCATACAGCTTGAGGTTGGGAAGGAAACTGGGGTGCTTCTCTCAGCCAGGCCCAACCTGACTTTGTTACCTTTTCCTTGATCATTCAAGTGTATTAAACATCACATACAGCAGGTGGTGATTCTGACTCATGATTACCCCATATGGGCCAGAGTAAACCGTGCTTCACAGCATTTTCTGATCACTAAACCTTTCTTCTGAGGAAGGGTTAGAACTGTCAGTCTTTTGTCTAGTGTTGTTGTTAAGTGCTGTTGAGTCAGTTCTGACTCGTAGTGACCCTGCATAGGGTGTCCAAGGAGCCAGGCACCACCTAGGGACCCAACTATACTCAACCTTGAGAAAATAGGTATTCAGAGAGGTGAAGGGGGTCGTGGGGAACAGTTGTCAGTCCATCTGGACTGGAATGGTTTGCAAATGATCCTCAGTGGGGTGTGGAGTTTCTTCAGTGAGCCACCTCTCCCTCTCAGTGCCATCTCAGGAGCACCAGTTGCTGTAAGTGAGACGCATCCTCCAGAGCCCTATCACATCCCTGGACCAGGACTTGGCTTGTTCTCATTGAATATGCTAATATCAGGCACAGCAATAAAAGCTAGCATTTATTTGAGTGCTCATTATATGAAAGTATTGTCCCCATTTCTTTAAAGTATTATCGCATTAAATCCTCACAACCACTTTGTCAATTTTACACTTGTATCCTGGTGTGATGCTCTAAGATAAGTACTAGACTGTGAGCCACAGGGTCGATGGTTCAAATCCACCAGCTGCTCCTTATAAGCCGTATACAGGGTGACTATGAATCAGAACCAGTATTCCATGACACTTCACAGCAACAACACTCCTACCTACAGAAGAGGAAATTGAGGCTTAGAGCACTTAAGTGACTTTAAAGGTCCCAGAGCTAGTAGGAGGTGGGACTGAAACTTTTATTTGGGTCTCTCTGGCCCCATGCTCCACTTGTACTTTTACCCACAACTCTCTTCTGCCTCTGTTTTTCTTGCGCTGAGCTAAGTTCTCTCCTCCAGCCTGCTGGTGCTCAGCACTTGGCTCCTACCAGACACACTGCAGCTCAGTGACCGGGCAGTGCGACTGCCGACCGGGAGTGACAGGACAGCTGTGTGACCGGTGTCTCTCAGAAGCTGACGTGTTTCCTCACTGCCAAGGTAGGGAAGCTGTCAGAACGCTGGTGGACCGGGCTCTGTCTGAGGAGTGTGTGGTCGGCCTCCCAGAAGAAGCCGGAGATCCCCTGCGAGTGACCTAGCATGATCTGCTGGTTCCTCTCTGACTTCAAGTTAGGGAACTCAGAAAAATAAAAAAATAAAAAAATTCCACGTGCTATAAATGTGGCAAAGGTGGCCTGTTGTAGCTAAATGGAATACTCGCTGCCCTGTCCTTCAGGCATCTTGCCTTCTCTCTGATTACCAACCTGTGGGCCTGGTGTTGGCTGCCCATCACCTGTCACAGCAGTTAAAACAGGCCTTCCTGGCAGGCTTTGTTCCTGTCCCTCTCTCCTGCTTGCCAATGGTCTTCTGCAGGACACTGTCATTGCGCCTTTAGCACTGGAGTTGGGGGAAGTAGTGAGATGAAATAGAACTTACTCGATTTGGAGAGAGTGAGCCACGAAGGAGAGGTGCATCATGATGCAGTGACTGGTCACTAGCAAGCTTATTTCTCCATGAATATCAGAAGTTGAGTCTTGTGGTCTCTGGCAGAAGATGAGCCTATTAAATACCCCAAAAATCACCCTGTGCTCCTGCGGGTTTGCACCTCAGCTGCTGATCCCTGACTGCCGAGGACTCTTTTCTGCTGAGAAGAGATGTTTGAGGAAGGCTGACCCCATTCTTCCCATCAGGAGAACCTGGTTTCCTTAACAGCCTTTCCTGTTCCTGGCAGCACTTCCGGGCTAGCATCCAGAGCCCTCTGGAGATAGGGTCAATACTTAAGCATGATTCCCCAGAACCTTTCTCACTGGAATCCTCAAGAAACCAGGTTTCTTGATGGTGGAAATGGTAATCAGGAACTGATAATTAGCCATAGAAAAGTACATTTTTCAGTTAATATAGAGTTCACTTTAATGATCACAACCCCCTTGTTTCTCCCCCCCCCTTATTAAAATTATTTAGCTTGCTTTACTGCCTCAGTACAAATAGTGCCACAAGTCTAATATAATCTCTCTTCAATAGCTTGGCGTCTTACAATGTCTCAGAATTACTATTACTATTATGTTAGAAATGAAAACATGGCAAGTGCCAGGGATGGGTCTGCTCACCTCCTTTGAGGAGGTCAGGAGGAGCAGGGTTGCTGTGGACTACGCACTACACATGCTGGAGGAAGAGATGAAAGGGGCCTGGAGAGGGAGCCAAGTCTGGGCAAGGCCAGGTGGGAAGACAGCCAAGAGCAAGAAAATGCCGTTGAATATTACAGAAAATGCCAGGGACACAAACAACAGAAACAATACATTTATCAAAGGGGAAACTGAGGCAAACAACTCCAGAGGAGACAAAGGCAAAAAGGCTAAGAAAACAAGCTGATGTTATGAATTTATTTAAATGATTTGAAGAACCAGGCCCTAAACATTTTACCCAATTTCTTTTCATTTCTAATGTAATAATGATAGTAATTCTGAGACATTGTAGTTTATTGAAGAGATTATATTAGACTTGTGATACTATTTTTACCAAGGCAGGAAAGCAAACTAATAAAATAAAAAAATTTAGAAAGAATTTTACTACAGGTGGGGAGCAAGGGGTTGACATCATTAAAGTGAACTCCATATTAGCTAAAAAATGTACATTTTTTATGGCCAATTAAAATATCTCTTGGTACAATGTTGCCCTCTCCTGGACAAAATTAAGATGTTCAAAATTTTATAATTGACTTTCTCTGTTGTTAAGTCGGTTCCGACCCATAGCAACCTTGCATAGGGTTTCCTGGGAGCAGCTAGTGAGCTTGAACCGCCAACCTTGTGGTTCAAACTGACTTTACAGTGCAGCGCCTTAATTCACCCTCCTTTTATTTCAGTCATAGAATAGAGTTGCTCAGTGGCCAAAGCGGTGTTTGGGGGATGAAAGATTTGAATATTATTTGGAGTCCCTTTCTATGAGTTACTTGCAAAGTCCTTGTTATTCAACCATCAAAAATATAAGTGAACAGGTACAATTTTTTAAAGCAAGTAAAACTTGTAAAACTCAAAACACCAAGAGAAACAAAGAAGAAACAAGAAAACATGCACCTGCTTCCCCTCCCCCACACGACATTGAAACCATTTCTAAATCCTGTGCAGGGTCCCACAGTGACTGTGACATTGCTGGTACCACCAAGCCCGGTTTGGTAAGTAGAGAATTACAAATGGGTTGCAAATTCTAACTATTGTGTTGCTACTTAGAAAACACTAGCATATTTGGCAGCTTTCTTAAATTACCAAGTAAATGAAAATCAACCATGATTTTAAAGATGTGTTTCAAATACATATGTAATCATACGATTGTTTTTTTCAAAAACAAAGAATATGAGCGGGCTTCAAGACATTTGTGGAAACTTCCATTGACTTTTCATTTGTAAGGTGCATTTCAACATTTGTTTATTTTAGAGTCCTAGCGTCTAACTTTCTACCATCTGTCTGCCAGTTTGTGGCTTGCTTGTTGGTATGTTGCTGGAAGCTGTGCCCCTTGGTATTTCAAATATCAGTAGGGTCACCCATAATGGAAAGGTTTCAGCATAGCTTCCAGACAATCAGCCCAAACCAACCAGTGGGTCACAAGAGAGCACTGTCCAGTGCGATGTTGGAGAGGGTAGGACCTGGCAACATTCACTCTGTTCTACATATGCTTGCCACGAGTTGGCATAGACTAGATGACAACTAACAAGACATCACCACTCATCAGCCAGTGTGTCATACTGTGGTGGCTGGTGTGTTGCTGTGATTCTGGAAGCGATACCACAGGTATTTGAAATAAAAGCAGGGTCATCCATGGTGGACAGGTGTCATGAACTTCCAAACCAAGACAGACTAGGAAGAAGGAGAGATAGACTACATCTGAATGTTTCGTCACTGAAAACCCTATGAATAGCAGTGGAACACTGTAAGATAGCCCCAGAATACTGCATATTGACACATGATGAGCACCAGAGTATTGTCAGATGCAGTGCCAGATGAGCCCTTTAGGTTGGAAGGCACTCAAAAATACGACTGGGGAAGAGCTATCCCCTCAAAGTCAAATTGACTATGATGCCACAAATGAAGTAAATAGGGCACAACTCAAAATGAAGAGAAACAGCTGTAAGCATCCATTAGTAATCAGCACATAGAATGTACAAAGTATGGATCTAGGAAAACTGGACGTTGTCAAAAATGAAATGGAGCACACAGACATCAATATCCAAGGCATTTAGTGAGCTGAAATGGACTGGTATGAACTGTTTTGAATCTGACAATCACATGCTGTCTTAAGTACAGCACTGTCTGTGATAGGACAATACCCATTATTAATACCACTATTATTCAAATTTACACACTAACCACTAAAGCCGGTGATGATGAAATTGAAGAATTCTATCAACTTCTTCAGTCTGAAATTGATCAAACATGCAATCAAGATGTATTGAAAATTACTGATGATTGGAATACAAAGATTGGAAACAAAGTCTCGTTTGAAAATATGGCCTTGGTGATAGATTTGATTCTAGAGACTGCATGATAAAATTTTGCAAGAACAATGACTTCTGTGTTGCAAATAGCTTATTATAACAGCATGAAAGTTGACCTCACAAGATGGAATACACAGAAATCAAAGTGACTACATCTGTGGAAAAGGATAGTGGAAACATTCCATATCATCATCAAAAACAAGGCCAGGGGCAGACTGTGGAACAGACCATCAGTTGATCATATGCAAGACTAAAGCTGAAGAAAATTAAAACAAGTTCACAAGAGCCAAAATGTGACCTTGAACATATCCCACCTGAATTTAGAGATCATCTCAAGAACAGATTTGATGAATTTAAGACAGTAATGACTGGAAGTCATAGAGTTGTGGGATGACATCAAGAACATCATTCAGGAAGAAATCAAAAGGTCATTAAGAAGACAAGAATGAAGGAAAAGACCAAATGGATGTTAGAAGATACTCTGAAAGTTGACTTTCCAGTATAGAGATGCTAAAGCAAATGGAAGAAATGAGGAGGCAAAAGAGCTGAACAAGAAAATTTCAAAGGGCAGTTTGAAGAGACAAAGCCAAGTATTATGATAAAATGTGCAAAGATCTGGAGTTAGAAAATCAAAACGGAAGAGCATGCTCAGCATTTCTCAAGCTGAGAAAATTAAAGAAAAAAATGCAAGCCTTGAGTTGCAATATTGAAGGATTCTATGGATAAAATGGAGTTCTGGTGTGGCACTGCGGGTTAATGCACTGGACTACAAGGTTGGTTTGAACCATAAGGTCGGTGGTTGAAGCTCACCAGCCGCTCCTCAGAAACTCCAACAGGTTCACTATGAGTTGGAACTGACTTAAAAGCACTTACCAAGAACAACAATGGGCAACATATTGAATGACACAGAAAGTATGAAAAGAAGATGGAAGTAATACACAGTCATTATACCAAAAATAAATAGTTGATATTTAATTATTTCAAGAGGAAGCATATGGTCAAGAGCCAATTGTAATGAAGGAAGAAGTCGAAGGTGCACTGAAGGCATTGGTAAAGAACAAGGCTCCAGGAATTGATGTAATACAGATTGGAATCTTTTTACAAACTGATGCACTCACTCATCTATGCCAAAAAATTTGGAAGACAGCTACCTGGCCAACTGATTAGAAGAGAACCTTATTTGTGCCAAAGAGAAGTGACCCAATAGAATGCAGAAGTATTCTTTAGAATACTTAGAATTCATTAGACAATACCATTAATATCACATGCAAGTAAAATTTTACTAAAGATAATTTTAAAACAGCTGCAACACAACATTGACAGGGAACTGCCAGAGGTTCAAACCAGATTCAGAGGAGGACGTGGAATGAGGGATATCATTGCTCACATTAGATGGATCTTGGCCGAAAGCAGAGAATACCATAAAGATGTTTACCTGTGCTTTATTAACTACGCAAAGGCTTTTGATTGTGTGCATCATGACAAGCCATGGACTACACTGCAGAAAATGAGTACCCCTTAATTGTGCTCATGAGGAACCTGTACATAGACCAAGAGGCAGTTGTTCGAACAGAACAAGGGAACATTGAATGGTTTAAAATTAGAAGAGGTGTGTGCCAGGGTTATAGTCTTTAAACATATTTATTCAGTCTGTATGCTAAGCAAATAATTTGAAAAATTTGCTTAGCATAATTTGAAAAAAATGAAAAAGAATGTGGCTTCAGGATCAGAGGAGGATTGATTCATTAACAACCTGCGATATGCAGATGATACAACCTTGCTTGCTGAAAACAAAGAGAATAAGAGAATTAAAAATATTTAATGATGAAGATTGAAGACCACAGCCTTCAGTATGGGTTGCACCTCAATGTAAAAAAAAAAAGAAAAAGAAATCTTCACCACTGCACCAATAAATAACATCGAGAAAATTTGAGAAAGGATTGAAGTTGTCAAACATTTCATTTTGCTGAGATCAATCATCAACACTCATGGAAGCAGCAACCAAGAAATCAAATGACGTATTGCATTCTGCAAATCTGCTGCAATAGGCCTCTTTAAAGTGCTGAAGAGCAAAGATGTCAGTTTGAGAACTAAGGTGAACCTGACCCAAGCCATGATATTTTCAATAGCTTCATATGCATGTGAAAATTAGACAATGAATAGGGAAGATCATAGAAGAATTGATGCATTTGAGTTAAGTGTTGGAGGAGAATTTAAAAACTACCATGGAGTCCTGGTGTAGCGCTGTGGGTTAGTGTGCTGGACTGCAAGGTTGATTTGAACTGCAAGGTTGATGGTTCAAGCTCAACAGCCACTCCTTTGAAATCCTGTACAGGGTCACTATGAGTTGGAACTGACTCGACAGTACTTAACAACAATGATGAACTGCCAAAAGAAGAAACAAATCCATGTTGGGAGAAGTACAGCCTGAATGCTCCTTAGAAGCCAGTATGGCCAGACTTCATCTCTCATACTTCGGACATATCATCAGGAGGGAACAGTCCCGGGAGAAGGACATGATGGTTGATAAAGTGGAGGTTCATTGACAAAGAGGAGGACTCCAATGAGATGGATTGGCACAGTGGCAGGAGCAATGTAGTGTAGCAAAGATTGTGAGGACTGGGCAGTGTTTGCTCTGTTGTGCATAAGGTTTCTATGAGTGGATACTGACTTGATCACACTTAACAACAACAATGAAACAGGAACCCATATACTTGTTGCTATTCCATCGATTCTGACTCCTTGTGAGCCCACACAAGAACAAGAGAGTCTAATTTTTACTGTTGGTGACTCTGAGGATGTTGCCACCAGAGATCCCAGCACATAAGTCTGACCTACATAATTAATGAAATTAAGAAAATTTTAATAAAATTTATTAAATGCATAATTGCATTTATTTTTTCTGTGTCCAAAACAAGTACAATTTATTTGATATTACTCTGTGCACAAACTACGATATTCATATTTGAGTAATTTTCTAAGAGCTTTAAAAATTGTGTGTTTTCTTGACCTGAGAACCTGGAGATGTGAACATCCCAGGCACAGGGTAGGTTAATGATGGGAGAAATTCTGTCATTTGCTGAGACTTTACCATAGTCATACAAGGCAGTGGACCTCACACATTGTAAAAGCACTCTCCCCACTGCCCCACAGTTGCTGGCAAATTGATTCTGACTCTTGTGACCCCCATGTGTATCAGATCACAACTGTGGGTCCATGGGGTCTTTTTTTGGATCACATTTTATTGTACTTTTAACTGGAAGTTCGCACAGCAGATTAGTTTTTCCTTCTGTAATTCATATACAAATGCTTCTGTGACATGGGCTGCAATCTACCCCCTGTGTCAATGGTCTCCCCATTATCACCCTAGGTTCCCTATTTTCATTCATCTGGCCACCCTGCCCCTTCCTGCCTTCTTATCTTTGTTTTTTCATAAATGCTGTCATTTTGGTCTAGTGTAGTATAGGTGATTGTTTTGAGGAACACATTCTTCTTGAGTGCTTTTGTTTATTTTATAGGTGAGTCCTGGTGTGGTGCTGTGGGATAATGCACTGGACCACCTTGCGGTTCAAATTCACTAGCCGCTCCTTGGAAACCCTATACAGGGTCACTATGAGTCGGAACTGACTCAACAGCACTTAACAACAACAACAATAAATTATTCGTTTGAGAGGTAGTCTCCGGGAGTGGCTTCAGTTCCACATTAGTTGGGTGACTTAGAGCAATAATCTCGAGGCTTCCTTTTTTAAAAAAAATGAGTTTGAGTTTTGTTCTCCATCTTTCTCCCATTCTAATTGGAATCTTCTATTGTGTCCCTGGTCAGAATGGTCAGTAGTGGTAGCCAGGCACCATCTAGTTCTGTCTGAGTCTAGAGGACACTGGTTCATGTAGGCCATTAGTTCTGTGGAATAAGTGCCATGAGTCTTTGGTTTCCTCCTCTCCTTTGCTGCGGTTGGCAAGAGACCAAGAATTGTATCTAAGACATTTGCTCACAAACTGCTGAGACCCCAAGTGCTACTCACCAAACTAGAATGTAGAACATTGCCTCTATGTACTATGTTAAACCAATTGATCTAGATGTCCCCTGAGGCTCCATAAGGTTTTCAGTGACTGATTTTCCATGTACTTGTTTTGTACACAGAAATGGATTGCCACACCTTTCTTCCAAGGTAGCTCTAGGTGGACTTGCATCTCCAGCCTTTAAGCTAGCAACAGCTGAATGCATTAATTATTTTGCACTCCCAGATAAACCTAATACCTTATTGATTCTCAAGATATTAAATATCCCGAAAGTTTTCCATTTATTAACAGTATCAGCATATACTGACAGTGTTTACAAGAGTAGTTTAAATTTGTTTTCTGTGTTTTCTAATTTTGTTTTAGCTATTTATTTGTTGTACACATAAGTATTGATTATATGTGTAACAAATAAATGGATAATGAGAAGAGGAATTAGTATGCTGCTGAAATCAATCCTGCATGTTTATTTCCCTTGATATATTGAATTTACTTGTCGTGGTCAAAATATTTCTGTAACAAGCGTTTGTGCAGAAAACATGTTTAAAAACATGTCTTAATTCCAAGATGAATTAAGTTAATTTGACTTTCCTTCAAAGGGGTATTGCCAATGCAAGCTTCATGTTGAAGGTCCGACTTGTAGCATCTGCAAACCATTATATTGGAATTTGGCCAAAGAAAACCCCAGTGGATGTTCAGGTAAGTCTTTTTCTACACTATGATCTACCATATTGATCCTTCCTTTTAATTTTCTCTACTCAGTGTCTAAACCCAGAAAAAAAGTCTTTATTTAATCTGTTCCATTTTTTGAAACTGTAATTTTTAAAAAATGTTTTTCCTACTTTTGGCAGAGCTTCTATCATTTTCAAAACCTCAGCAAGGGATGTTTATCCTATTTCCATATGTATTTTTACAGTTGCTAAGGCAGCTACTTGATAAATGGCTTTAACCTTCTTATTTTTATTATCCACTCCTTTTAACTTAATTTTACTGTAACTTTCTGCTTATATCTAAGCCAAGTTAAGAACTTAAAGACACTGAGTTGAAGTTTCCAAACTGAGTGAATATCATTAGGTTGAGTATATTTCCATCTTAAGTATATCAGTGATGACCTTGATGCTTCACATTTCATGATGTTGCAGCTTTTATCTTGGAGTGGCCAGAGCTTACAATTACTCCTCGTGAGTGGATAGTATTGATCTTTCTGTTCTGCTAGCTGCAGAAAGCAATACACTTTTAGGCCCCAATGTGCAGACTGCAATTCTGCTGAAGTGTGCTAGAAACTGTACACGTGTAGTATTGCAGGTGCGTCATGCTTCCGGAGGTGAGGACTGTCCTTGTGTAACCTTTGGTTATCTCCACAGAGTGCCAGTGCAATGTGATGGGAACAGTGAGTGGAATTGGAGAATGTGGGCAGGTAACGTGGGATGCCTTTCTTTTCATATAGTAACAACAGAATGTTTTAACAGCTGGTTGTGGAGCGGCAGTGGGATTTATTAGTACCTCTCCAATTATAAGGCATAGAGGCAGTGGGAGTGAGTCCAGGTGGCTCCGTGGGTAAAGCATTTGGCTGCTAACTGAAAGGTCAGTGGTTCCTATCCACCAACCTCTCCATGGGAGAAAGATGTGACATTTTGCTTCTGTAAAGATTTATAACCTTGAAATCTGGGGCAGTTCTATCCTGCCCTATAGGGTCTTCATGAGTTAGAATAGACTCAGCAGTAGTGAGTCAGGGTTGAAGGCAGTGATGGTGCAGTGGTAGAATTCTTGTCTTCCACATGGGAGACTGGGGTTCAGTTCCACAGTTTACATGTTGCTATGATGCTGGACCAGTTTCAGGGGCAATTTTCAGATTAAGAGAGGTGAGGAAGAAAGGTCTGGTGATCCACTTCTGAAAGTCAGCCAACGAAAGTTTATAGGTCACAAGAGTCTGTAATCAGTCATGGGGATGGTGCGGGACCCAGCAGTGTTTCCTCTGTTTTTCAGGGGCTGGGGTGAGGGGGTCCTCATGAGTTGGAACTGACTCAATGGCAGCTAGCAGTAATTGCAGAATGCATAGCAATCTTTTTGAAATTTTACTACCCTGGTTGCAACTGCTTCACATTATACAATGAAACAGCTTTAATTTTTGAACTTTAGAGAATTCTGTCATTTGATCACATCTTATTTCCTGGCTTGTCCTATAGGGAGATGGTAACTGTCACTGCAAGCCCCATGTCTGCGGTGGTTCCTGTGACATATGTGAAGAGGGATATTTTGCCTTGGAAAACAGCAATTACTTCGGATGTCAAGGTAAATGCCTCCAGTGGACCCTGTTGGTAAAGCAAAAGTTTTGATGGACAAAGACTGCCAGTCTTTCTGGTGAGGTGGAACTGAAAAATTCTGTGCAGGAAATCTGGCCAATTATCTAGTTGAT